TGGCACACATACACACACAGGCGTGAGCATGGCACACATACACACACTCATAGGTAAAACACTCAGACACATGAAATGAAATAAGTAAACCTAAAGAAAAAAATTAAGAGGAAGAATCTGGAAAGATCCGTGTTGTAGAGCTGACAAGCTCCAGAGTTCCAGCTCTGGAGGAACCCATGCCTCTGGCTTCCTGGGGCACCTGCACAGGCCATACACACATACAACAAGCAAACACACACAGACACACACACAACCAAAATTTTTAAAAAGGAATAAATCTAAGAAAGAAAGAAAGAAAGAAAGAAAGAAAGAAAGGAAGGAAGGAAGGAAGGAAGGAAGGAAGGAAGGAAGGAAGGAAGGAATCAAGAGTTGGAAGCTAGGCGTGGTGTCACATGCCTTTAATTAAGGCACTGGGGTGGCAAGGACTTGCAGATCCCTGAGTTCAATGCCAGCGTGCTCTGCAGAGTGACAGCCACACTAAGACCCTGTCTCAAAACAAACACATAATAATAACAAAGAGAGTTGGAGATACTGCCCAGGCACACTTGAGCCCTTGATTCTATTCCCAGCACTGAAGAGAGAGAGTGGGGGAGTGGGAGAGGGGGAGGAGAAGAGGAGGGGGAGGGAGAGCTGTTCTGTGATTTGGGACGTTCTAGAATGGAGGACAAACACAGTCTTCAGGTGGGAGGCAGGTCACAGGGCACGAAGATGAAATACAGGAAAGAGGCTGCAGCCAGAGCATTCACTTGGGGGTCACAGAACTCACAGATATGGAACCCAAGACATGTGGGGCTACCACCCTTCTAGAGACAGACAGACAGACAGACAGACAGACACACACACACACACACACACACACACACGGACACACACAAATGCACATGTTTGCTGGCTTACCCCATCGGTGAAGAAGGTCCGCAGCATCCGTAGGCTCGGCACGCGGTTAGGAAGGCGTCTGGGGAGCAAGGACTGAAGGTGAGGGCTGTGGACGGCCCAGATTCTCATCGCTCACCCAAACCCATGGCTCAACCTAGGAGAGCAGAAACCACCCCCACCCGGGTGCAGACATGGGCTCACCGGAGCACTCGGCCCTCATCCCGGAAGGTGTTCAGTCCATCATCACAGGACTTGGAGCGCTCAGTGGTGATGGCCAGCAGGTAGGAGGAGCGGCGGCCTGCCTTGATGCTGCCTGAAAAGGTGCCACAGGAGGCCGCAGGGTTAGCAAGGGGCAGGTTGGCAGGTACCCTAGGAGTCCTCTCTTCAGGAGTGGGCTCTCCCATGGGGCCCCAGAAGAAGCAAACAGACATTGGGAAAAAGATCCACAGGGACCAGAAAGCAGAGGAGAGGGTGACACAGGCCAGAGACACTCACTGCAATCCTGGGAGTAATGGCGGCTGAGGGCAAAAGTGAAGGTTGGTGAGGATGGGCTAGTTCCCAGGACAGGGGCTGAGTTCATGGCACTGGAGACCACTGCGGAGGCAGGGACATGCTTGGCTTGAAGGTCAATGCTGGGGCTGGTGGGCTCATCTGCAGGCAGAGGAAGGAAGGTGTGAGGAACAGAGGCCAGGCTCTGGGTGGCACATACTGCAAGCCCCCAAACTCTTCCTCACTAGGGCATTTCTGGCAACCTGCCCACGGCTCAGGGTGCCTCGCCCATCAGAGTGTGGTCAGGGAGTGTCTCCTTTTAGCAGGTGCTGAGCCTCCCATTGCGTCACGGGCACCGATGAGAGGCACTGAGCCACCCTCCTTGGAGTAGGCTCCTACAATACAAGGCAGTATTCTCTCGGGTCGGTGGCTTTTGGCACAGCATTATGTCTTCGCATTAGATGGGTGCACCTGACAAGAGGCTAGGCTGGGACTTCCTGAAACACTGCTGGACCCCTGACACAGGCTGCTGATGGCATCCTACCATCCTTCCTAACCTTCTTCTGAGTTCCCAGGCTGTTCAGCTACAAACCCACCAGGCCCAGGGTTTGAGTCCAATATCACCATCTTCTGTTCCAGACTTTCTCCACAGCCCAGAGAGCCAGCCTGGCCTAGTTTGCTTTCTCATCGCCCTAACCTTGTTCTTGTTCTTTCTGCACCGCCATCCCCAACGTGGAGATGAGGCACACTCACTGGGCAAGCCAAAAAGTTGGGGATAATCCTCGCCTCTGCCTTCTTGCCTGTCCCCACACTCTGGGCAGCCACCACAGGGTGAAGTCTGAGCTTAGCCTTGGACAGGAAAGGACCACATGGCCTGGAAGTGCAGTTGGCCCCTCCCACTGCGAGCTGTGCAGTCCCATCCTTCTCTTTGAACATTCTTCCTCAGACTACCTCGAATCCTTCTTAGCCAAATGTTGTTTTTCCAATATGTTCCCAGTGCCGATCACACCCTCTAGGCCACAGAGCCCTTCCCCATCCACAGAGCGAGGCTGTCTGTCCTCTGAGCTTTCTGTCTGAGCAGCCACCTACCAGGTAAGTGTGAAGCCTAGCACAGTACCTGATGTAAATATCTGTTGGAGGAATGTAGGAGAGATGGAAAAAACAAAGAATGAAAGACACAAAGAAATGGTAGAAGAACGAGCAGGAGGAAGGAGGGGGAGATGAGAGCTAGTGATGGATGGATGAACGGAGTGAAGGACCAGACCAAGTGAGCCCGGGAGAAGGACGGATGCAGGAGGGAAGAAGAGAGGAGAGAAAATGTGGACAGAAAAATGGTTACAAGAATGAAGGAATGCGAGACAGGAGGAAAGAAGCAATTATTGAGGAATGGACAAACGGACGAACAGATAGAGACAGAACCCAGATTCCCCTATCGGCACATGCACAGCACAGACTTGGGCTCAGTAGACAGGGAGATGGGACACAAAAGGTTGGGGAATGGGACCCTTAGCCAGCCACTTGTAGCATCACTCACCAATGAAGGGAATAGAAGCCAGGGAGTCTTCTGTAGTGGCCAAAGGGGCCACCTTCCTGCCTGGGCGTTCCCCTCTGGTCTCTGGTTCTGGGGACTCATCACCAAATCCAAGGTTCATCTGTCTTGCTGGGGTCAGCTGGACCTTGCGACCTGTTGGAGGCTTCTGCCTCAGGACCACCTCATCGCGATGATCCTCTGCAGGAGGCTCCAGGGCTCGGGTGCTAGGATCTGGCCGGATGACCCTAGGTGGTTCGGAGGCCTCTGGTGGGAATGATGCAGGAGATTGGGCCAAGCTGAAGGTGGGAAGTCCCCCGAAGGGTGAGTCCCGGAAGGAGAGGGCATGCAGAAGGCCAGTCCGGCGCTGGAATGACGGGCTATAGCTCCGATACCCGATGTACCCGATGTCATCCAGGCCCTGTAGGCCAGATGGAGGAGGGGCCTGGGGCCCTGGCAAGTCTCGAGAAGGGCAAGCAGAGGTGCGGGCACATGGACGCTGGGAAGCCCAGCCACAGCGTTCAAGGCGAGGGGATACCAGTGCTCCTGGACCCAGTGCTTCAGCAGACCGAGTAGCCCGGCTCAAGTAATCATCTGAGCGAGCTCGGTGCCAACCCTCCTGGCCCAGTTGGCTCAAGGCATCCTGGGAGGTGGAGCAGGGCCATGGATGGTGGGTAGTCACATCCTCCAACCGGTCCTGGGAGGCACTGCGGGCCCGGGGTGGCATGGCTGGGCACCGTCTCTCCCCTGCCCTGCGGGGTATCTGATTTGACAGCCAGTGTGACAGAGCCTGCTGGCACTCCAGTCTGCTGGGAAGCACCCGGCTGCCAGGCTCTGGGAAGGCACGGGGCGTCCGGGACTCTGAAGGGAGGTGGGGAAAGGCACCAGGGCTTGGGCGGGGCTGGCTCATCCCCAAGGAAGAGTTGTCCAGGTGGGCACGGGTGGCAGATGAGACACGGGACCCTGGGTCACTCCAGGCAGCAGGACTCCGGGGGTCCGTGGGTAGGGCTGGGATGGGCTCAGGCACCATCGTGGCCCAGGCAGGGGCCCGGGCTGGCGGGGCATAGGTCTTCCGTGGGTAGCAGAGTGGAGGTGGTTCTGGGATGCTGCGGGCCTCTCCGGAATACGGCTCGTTGCCCTTCAGGTAGGCATCCTGGGAGTAGGCCTGGCCAGAAAACAGAGGCATAAAAGCATGACCGGACTGGACTCAGAGGACAGGAATGAGACAGCCCTAGGGTACCAAGGTCCTCAGAAGAGAATGGAAGGGAGATGAGTAAGTAGGGGCCTCCTGAATGGATGAGGGTGTGCTCCAAGGAGAGTCCTGGGGGAGGACAAAGAAATAAGATATTTTCTCTTTCTCTCTCTTTCTCTCTCTCTCTCTCTCTCTTCCTCTCTCTCTCTCTCTTTTCCTCTCTCTCTCTCTCTCTCTCTCTCTCTCTCTCTCTCAAAATAGCCAGATTTCTGTAAGACTTTTAAAACAAGGGACAGCCTTTAGCCACAAACATTCCAACATCTGTTTGCTAGGGCCCTCCCCCATCCTGCCTGCCCTCCACCGCCTACTGTTCCTTTATGTCCAGTGATGCCCACAGCCCCGGCTGTATAGTGGGGAAATGGGCAGAAACTGTCAAGGTGGTAGAGGACCTTAGAAAGCTGGTTAAGGAGTGGGTGTGTCCAACGAGGGTGGTCTGAGGGAAGGCGGAGGCTGGAAGAGCCCAAAGTTCCCTCAGTATAGGGTGATATGAGCTGAGGCCCAGGGCCTGAGCCCTGGGACGAAGAACATGACCACTTCTTGCTCCCCAGAGACCAGTTTAGAGGAGGGGCTGGACAGGCTAAGGGGCCTTGGGCCGTCTCCTGCCACCCCTAGGCCTGGAATTTGGCACTGGCTGCTGAAGCTGACGCTGCATTGCTGAGGAGTGACAGGGCTGGTGCCCAGGCTCAGCCAAAAAAGGAGTCACCCCACCCCCGGACAGCAGCCTTGTGGCCCTGCCGAGCCTAGCACTGGCTGAGCTGAGGGGGCCTGTTTCAGCAAAGGGTGTAAGGGTGAGCCCAGACATACACATATACTACCCCACATCACAGAGAAACGGCAAGATACACACCCTGAGAGATACACACAGCACACACAATGAGATACACAATTAACTACCCCTCCACTACCAAACACAAACATCATGTGACAAGGACCAGCTAACCACACCCCCGCACACTCGGCCCCTCCAGCCTGGCATACTGGGCCAGCAACACATACCTCTCCCTCCTGCCATCCTGCTGGCTCCCGGGGCTCCCAGCATCACGGTGGCGGAGGCAGCATCCCGCCAGCCTGTGCCTGCTGCCTGGCCGGCTGCCTCTCACCACAGCCCCTGCCCAGCTGATTTGAGTCCCTCAGTCTCAGCCAGTCCTCCCTGAAGCTCCCCCTCTCCCCCACCCGGCTCTCTCTCTTTCGGCTGCCTGGCGGTAGGAGGAGGGAGGATGGGTGTGGAGGGGACCTGCCGCGTCGGTGGTGGCGTCAGCAGCTGCCGCCACCCGATTGGCCTCCAGCCTTGGCTCCCAACCACAGGAATGCCTGAGCCCCACCCTCTGGCTGACTGGAGATGGCGGGTAGTGGGAGCTCCCAGATGTTGACATCTGGGGATGCCAGCCTCTTTAGGTTTAGGACTGGCAGAGTTCAAGGCTGCTGCCCTTGCCACCTCTTGCCCCTGACTGCTGGACTGAGCCAGGGTGCCATGCCCTGTTACTCTCTCAGAACTGGAGTATAGGCAAGCTCTTTAAGACTTGGGGTGAGCCATGCACCTCCCTGAGCCTCCATTCTTTCCCCCTCAACTCCAGGAAGTGCAAGGGGACAATTGAGGTCAGGAATGGAGGTTCCCGGGGGAGGCATCATGCCAAGTGTGGCCCTGTCATTACAGAGATACAGCCAAAGCCAGCACAGCAGCTCTGGGCCTCTGGGCTTGGCCCTCAGCCATCCTCTGAGGGGCAATGACTGAAGGGGCGAGCAAGCCGTCGTCTGGGTCGAAGCCAAGAGACCAAGAACAGGGCACTAGGCAAGGGAGGCTGCTCCAGGCTCCAGACACAGGCTCTGGGCTTGCTTCACACAACACATGTGGGGCAGGCCTTTGGGTGGCACCCTCCCAAAGGGTTTTATGTTCTCAATGTGCTGAGACACTGGCTCTGACGAGTTCAGAATTTATATCTCACATGGATGAATTTGTGGTCCTGTGATATCACTAAGCACAGGTGCCTGAGAGGGGCTGTGGCATGCTGTGACACTTGTGGGCAGCGTTGCAATAACGCACCACGGTGTGCTTATGTCACATCAGCACAGAATCCAGATGTGTGCAGAGTTTGTGCTACAAGACAGAGGTACAAGTGAGGTCCCATTGTGTGCTATTGTGAGGCTGCTGTGAGGCTGCTGTGAGGTCTCACTGTGTGCTACATGAGTACTGTGGTACACCGGCATAGAGAACAGACTGTGGCAGCAGAGACTGGGAGAGGCTCTGTGAGTCCTGCCCTGCAATGCTCTGTGTCTTCTGTGGAGCTGAGTTGTACAGGGCTATGCAGGGTTGAGTGTTCTGATGTGTATATGTGGTGCCTGTGGCTGTGAGATGTGCTGAAGGGTGGTGTTTGGAGTGTGTATCTATGGACACACCTCTGAAGCCATGTTCCCTCAGCCCAAGTGGGCAAGGGGTGCAGGGAGCAGGCATTTCTCACAGGAGCAAACAAGAACATGCCAGGCTGGCAGGGCCCGCTGGGCCACCGTCTTTCCAGATACCCTGGCAGGAATCCTGCTTACCAAGGCCAGGGTAACCTCCTCTCCCTAGCACAGAGCAAGCAGCCTTGAGTGAAGCAAGAAGCAGTCCCAGCCCAGGGATGGGCCTGGAAGCCCCAGTTGAGCAATGTTGGGCTATTTCCTTCTCTCTTCTCCCACAGGGGCCCTCCATGCAGACAGAAGGACTCACCAGCTGGAGGATGTCCTCGTCCTTGGGCATGATGGAGAGCTCCAGGGTGTCATCACTGCAGAGACAGAGAGAGGGTCAAGCAGAGGCAACAGGACAGTATCTGAGGACAGGGATCTGGTTGAAGGGCCCCGGCTGGGGAGAAGCAGGAAAGCCAGGCACTCACCTGTTCTGGATCAGACCTATGACCTGGGAGTATGTCTTCCCAATGACGCTCTCCCGGTTCACCTTCACCAGCCGGTCTCCTGGGGACAAGGGTGGGGTCACATGTGAGAGTCCAAAGCAGGGAGTGCAGTGTACCCCTGTACTAAACATGACTGGAAGTAAAAGGAGAGGACCGTCCCCAGCATCTGGGTTCATGAATTCCAACCCAATTAAAAGGGATGTGAGCCCTAGGAGTGTTACACAAGGTCACAGACAGGCCTACCTGTGCGAAGCCCCGCCCTGTGGGCGGGGCCACCGTCCTTCACATTCTTCACAAAGATGGTGTCCATAGGCTCCAGGCGGTGCCGGGGTGAGGATCCTGGTGGGCATCAGCCAGGTTAGCTGGGGGTGGTTGCTGAAGGTCACACCCATGCACAGCTACACACACAGAGGACACACACTCAGAGGATGATCACACACAGGCACAAACATGCAATGACCTACACATCCACAGGACCTATGCCCAGAGCCAGAGAAGGGCCCATCCCAGGAGAAGGACACACAGAGAGCTGCCCAAATCCATGAGCTGAGTCTCTTTTCCTGTGTTACACAGGACGCTGTAGCCAGACTACACAGTATGTGTGGACACACACAGCCCTTGCCCTTCCAGAGTTCTCCATTAAGCAGACTTCATACACAAGTCACAAGACAACAGAAAGGGTGCTATTCAAGAGGACCCTACGGGGCTGACAAGATGGATCAGTGGGGAAAGACACCTGGATGTGAGTCTGACGGTTTGAAGTGAATCCCTGAAACCCACCTAAGGGTGGAAGGAGAAAGCTAACTCTGCCGAGTTATCCTCTGACCTCTCATACTCCGAAAGGCACAATGCACACTCTGGTATTAGCACAGGTATGCGCTCGTGCGCGCATGCGCGCACACACACACACACACACACACACACACACATAATGTTTAAAAGGAGGCCCTTACCTGGGCTAGAGGTTTAAGAGCACTGGCTACTTTTGCATGGGGCCTTGGTTTGGTTTCCAGCATGTGTGTGGCAGCTCACAACTGCCACACAACTGTAAGTCTAATTCCAGGGTACTGACATGCTCTTCTAACACTCTGGCTTCCTGCACATACATGGCACACATACATTCACACACACACACACACAGAGGCACAAATGATCATAAAATAATATTTTAAAAATACCGCACCTATCAAGCCCTGAAGAAGCAAGCTGGAGAGACCTCATATATACAGAAGACGACAGATCACAGAACCAAAGCGATACCCAATATACTAGTGTCCCCCTCCTTCCTCCTTCTCCAGGGTCAGGGATTCCAAGCAGGACACAGGATGGATGCTACTACCTCCATCACTTCCCAGCAAGACTCCCTTACGGGAACCTGTGCTAGGACAGTGGGCTCCTTCGCCTTCAGTGGCATGAGAACTCAGGAGGACCATGTCACCATGGCTGCCCACAGACAGAGGGAGGGCAGGAAAGCTGCCTGTTTGGGGAGTTCAGCTTTAAATACCTCAGAGTCTGAGAGCCAGCAAAGGACCCTTAAGATAGCAAAGGTGTCAGTAAGATGAGTTAGGCTCACATTTTTAATATATACTTTAGGGCCCCCTACTCCTATCCTCCCTTCTCCATCTATAGGATGAACCCATGCTCAGTACACCCCAACCCTAATCCACAGGACTTGTAGCCTTAGCCTTGACTTTGTTCTGGGAGAAAGAAGAGAGGGTGGAACCAGATGGGTATGTGTCACCCAGAGTCCTCAGTATCAGATGGCTGTGGGAGGGACAGGCCTATAGGAAGACAAGATGGGGAGAACAGAGAATGTGCAGGGAGAACAGAGAATGAGGAGGAGACGCCTGGAGCTAGGCTAGCAGGAACACGGAGAGGAGAAAGGCTAGATGGGGACAAGAAAAGGGTGGGGCCCACTGGAGTGCAGGAGAGAAACTGAAGCCCAGCCCCGCCCCCTTACCTCCTCCTCCTCTTCCTCCTCGGCCTCCATTCTCTTCCTCCTGCAGGGAACAGAGAAATGGGTGTGGCAACTGCTCAGCCCTGGGCAGCATCAGCAGCATGCTGTGTACCTGGGCAGCCCTGCTGAGCCACCCCACCTCCAACCCTTATCTCCTTCCAAGCAGCCAACAGCAACGGAGATGGGAGAGCTGTCAGAGGCATCCCAAGACAGAAGTGCCCCAGTAACACACACTCCCAGGTTTCCAAGAACATCCAGTCCACCAGCGATCCATGACCTCTTCCCCCAGGGAGCCTGCAGGTCAAGGGAGGAGGTCCCCAGAAACATATGCAGAAGACCCAGGCAGACAAAGATAAGCAGCCTGACAGATGTAAACAGGGCTATCTCTCTCAGAGAATGGGCTGGGAGGCCCGATTAGCAAGAGGGAAGGGGTGTACACTTAGGGCTGGATGTGCTGAGCTCACACCAACAAGCAGCTAAAGTCAGACTAAAAGCGCTCTGGTCTGAAAGGAAAGAAGAGGGAGCCAGGAAAGGTTCTCTGATAAGCAGAAGTGGGGGTCAGGCAAGGGGCCAGATTCTGGCAGCTAGCTACAGGGGTGAGGGAGAGTGCTAGGAGGTCCAGAGGTCCATCCTGTCAAGGGGGGAGGTACAGGGCATGGGCTTTGGAGAAGAACCAGAAGACGGTCAGAGACAGCTGAGTCAGCAGGTGCTGCATTTCAGAGTTGACTAGACCTTCGGGGTCATCTTGTCCAGAGACTCAACAGCAGAGCCAGGGCCCAAACTCAGGGTCCCCTGGCATCCCAGCCAGGCCATGGTGAGCCAGGAAGGTTGCTGAGTGCTGTTGAAGTCTGGGCCTCTGACCAGTTTCCCATAGGAGGTGCATGCCCACTGATCTGAGCTGACAGCATAGACAGCGGTGGCAGGGGCAGACAGATGCATCTGGACGGCTAAGCTCCCTGTACAGGCTCGAGGCAGAGAACTCTGGCCTCCTGCAGCCTGGGGACAAGAGCTTCTCACAGTCTGGGGCAGGTTCTAGAAAGGGAGGGAGCAAACCTGGCTTGTCTTCCCCAAAGCTGGCTGGTGACCCATGAGAAGGAGAACCCAACATGCTCGACCACAGCCCCGTCAAGGTGGCAGGAGATAGAAAAAAAGGAAAGGAAGGGCTTGGGTCTCCAGGAGTGAAGAAGCTGGCATCCTTGGTCATCTGGTGCTGTCCACACTATTAGGCCCCACTTCCTTCCTTAGGCATACCTGCAGCCAGTGACCGTGATGATCCTGGGATCAAAGATTCATATGCATGGGGAAGCCACAAAGCATGTGACAGACATGTACATAACACACACACACACGTACAGAGGCATGCACAGGTTCAGAGACACGCAGAGAAACTTGATGTTTTGGTTGTGTGGCAGGGTCAAGGTTCCGAAGCAAGAATCCCCCCACCCCCCGCAGTTAGGCAGGCTGATCCCAGCCCTGAGGAAGAAGAGTGGGGTTCATCAACTCTGATAGAAATCTGTCTCCTGGGCTGGAGAGATGGCTTAGTGGTTAAGAGCACTGACTGCACTTCCAGAGGTCCTGAGTTCAAATCCCAGCAACCACATGGTGGCTCACAACCATCTGTAATGAGATCTGATTCCCTCTTCTGGTGTGTCTGAAGACAGCTACAGTGTATTCATATATAATAAATAAATAAAAATTAAAAAAAAAAAAAGAAATCTGTCTCCTCTGCAGGAAGAGAAGTTGGGAGGCCAGAATGCTGCCTGGTCTCCTGCCCTTGTCTTCCACACTCAGGGACCCTCTCTCTCCAGCTGACAGCCTTGTGCTGTCCTGAGGAGTTCTAAGGTCTTGGATCCGGAAGCTGTGTTAGGGATGAAAGGTCCTTGGGGATCAAAAACATAGTAGCCCTCAGGATAAACTGAGTCACCGAGGGATGAGATGCCTGTAAATCCACAGTGAGCCAACCTACAGCAACATGGGACTGAGTTAGGACTAAAATCTGGGGCCTTGGACTCCTTCCCAGGACTCTTCCTAGAGAATAAGCTGGGGTCCCCAGCCTGGGGACAGAAAGAGCTGACCAGAACAAGAACCAGTGGACAAGTGAACAAGGAGTTCCAGGAGGCCCAGTTCAAGATGGTCCAGTTCCAGAGCCCAGAGAAGATAAGGAGTTTGTCCACAGTCATAGAGCAAGTGTCCCAGGCTCGGCTAGCACGGCCTCCTTACAGCTCTCCTCGGGGACTGCAGCAGAAGGGAGCCAGGCTGGTCCCCTGGAGGGGCTCCTCTGACAGGGACCTAGGACAGGCCAGCAAGCCTCTTTCTCCCACCCAGCTTCCCTCGCAGAGTGGCCAGGCACTGGTGAGCTGGACCTACCTTCAGGCTACAGTGCACAGCTGACTCGGGCGGGTACACAATGAAGTGGCGCAGGGTGAAACCAAAACCGTCCTGAAGATTCTTGCGCAGCAGCAGTGTCCTTGGCCCCTGCCAGGGGAGGGGGCGCCCAGAAGAGCACCCATCTCGAGGGCCCAGTGGAGGCTGCAGGAGCAGAGAGACAGGTGAATGAGCATAGTGTGGTCTGTGCTCCCAGCTCTCCACAAGCCTCCAGCTGCCTAGGAGCCTAGAACCTGAAGGAACCTAGAACGCTGACATCCCCAGCCATGAGGGCCCAAGTCCCTCCTGGCTCCTGGCCCCTTCACCAAAGCCTTCTTCTCTCACTCTCCTGAAGCAGAAAGCTTCTTTCCTCAGAGTTTTTCCTTCAGTCTCCTCACGACACCTTTGTCTCCTTGGACATAGAGCCAGTATGCATGTCCTATGCGTCAGATCCTGCACACACAGCTTTCCTGCGTAGGAAGTTGTACAGACAACTCTTACACATCCTCACACATATGTTGACATACATGAAAACATAACTTATACAGACAGAACATACCACGAACACAGGCACACACATAAAATGTACACATATAAGTCAGGTGCTGCTGGCTTAATCCCAGCACTCAGGAGGCAGAGGCGGGCAGATTTCTGAGTCCAAGGCCAGCCTGTTTTATAGAGTAAATTGCAGGACAGCCAGGGCCATACAGAGAGACCCTGTGCCAAAAAACAATCAATCAATCAATAATAAAAATAAAAAAACAAGGGTGCTGGAGGGATGGCTCAGTGGTTAAGAGCACTAACTGCTCTTCCAGAGGTCTTGAGTTTAATTCCCAGCAACTACATGGTGGCTCACAACCATCTGGAATGGGATCCAATGCCCTCTTCTGGTGTGTCTGAAGAGAGTGAAAGAGTACACACATACATAAAATAAATAAATCTTAAAAAATAAAAATAAAAAACAAATGTGGGCACCAGCAGACCGGCAGAATCACATGTATGCACTATGCAGGCACACTGGCACAGGCACGGGTGCACATTACCAGTCTTGCATACACACATGCCCACAGACAGAGCCACATCTCTGCACTGCCGCACAAATGCACCCTCCAGGAGCATGGGATCAAGAGCCCCAAATGGACACCAGGCCACTAAAGGGATTTGCTGAGGTTGCAAAGCTCAGCCCAAAGGCCAGGCTGGTTCACCGGAAAGGCAGATGAGAGATACTGCCTTCTGTCCAACCCTGCTGGAATGCTTGGGGTTTCCCTAGATGACATGGCAGGCTATCCAAAGAAGAGGTGAGGGGGCCATAGAGGACCATTATCTGGAGCAGGAGGCAAGAGATGACAGACAGAGAAGACTGCTCGAGTGTCTTTGGACTCTGAGATAAACAACCAGTAACAAGTATGAGATAACTTGCATGCAGAGAGGCTGACAGAAAAGATGAGTGTCCAAGGGACAAGCCGTGGGAAAAGCAAGAAGTCTCCCACAAAGCCTCAAATCCTCGTAGCCGCTGGGCAGCCTGAGCTAGCATTTGCCTCTGACCCAAAGCCCTCAGGAAGCCAAAAGCTTCCCACCGACTCCTTCAACAAGCCTCCACCCCCTGCTCCTCCTTGGTCTTGGCAGGAACCAGAAAAACAGATGAGAGGCCCAGGGGCTAGTATGGACAGTGAGAAGCCCATCAGACCTGGGCTGGAAGGAGCTCCCACTGTATGGGAAAGCTGCCCTCCTGCTAGCTCAAAAGTTCACAAACACCCGGAGGCTCAGGGATGCTGAGAGACCCATCTGAGAAGCTGTCCACCCTGCTCACCTACTCAACAGAGGGACAGCATGCAAGGGTGCACAGCATGCAAGGGTGCACAGCCAGGAGGCTTTGTTGCCATCCTGCAGGCTTCGGGGAGAACGCAGATCCTGGAATCTCAATAAATAAAAGAAAAATGAGACGGAAGCAATAGGTTTGATGACTGTAGTTTCAGAAAACAGAAACAGGTGGAGGACACAAAACATCTGAACAAGGCTCCAGAAAAGGAGATATTCCACATGGCTGAAGCATGTAAGGCTTAGGTTGTAAGCTATCCATCCCCAAAGGGCCCAAGCGAGACCTAGACTACTCCTGGTCCCAGTCCTTGGCAGGGATAGGGGGTGGGGGGCAGTGGTGTCCTCTCAGCTCCATTCCCTTGTGGCTACGCCCTAGCCTCTTCCATGAGCTCCTCATTCATGAAGTCGAAGGGCCCCGAGAACATTCACTGGAAATTCCTCGAGATTTGAATACACCCCTCCCGGACTCTCTATTTCTGCTGCTAGGAAAGATGATCTCATGGGTCCCCAGTGCCTCTCCCTCAGAAACCCCTGCTCCGCATCTATCATGGGCTGCCCTCCTTCCCACTCCCACCCAGGCAGGCTCAGAGCTGAGGGTGTTTGCAGGGCCCATTGTTTTGCTGGTGTCCTGGATTAAGGTTTAAGCCACCAGCTGCCCCAGTGATGAGAAGCGGCTGGGACAGGTCCCCACATGTTCCCCTCCCCTCTCCCTACACACACATCCTGCCGAGAGCTGCCAGCTGCCTGGGGTTGCCATTCCCTGAGGGGACCTGCTGGTAATCCAGGACAGCGGCTATGCCTGCCTCCCAGATCTCTCCTCATCCAGTACAGCAACTCCCCCTTTCTTACTTATCTCTGCCTCTCCATTTCCTGTTCCTTTCCTTCCAGGTCCAGTCTCCCAGCCCTTCCAATTAGTCTCTAGAGAGTGTCAATATCCCCCTGCTACAGCCTGTCAGAAGAGGAGACTCCACAAACCCATTCAGAGCTGGTTGCCTCCCTGTGGGAAGTTCTTTCAGACCTAGTCTCAATCCTTCATGTTACTGTATATGCAAGTTTCGGCTCCTCCCATATGACCTGGGACAACACTGAGTTCAAGTGGAGAGAGGTACGAGGTACAGAAACAGAGAGATCCAGCATTGAGAACTTGGAAGACCAAGAAAGTACAGCTCAGCTCCACCAACTCTGTCTCTCTGACAAAGGCACACAGCCAGGGTACAGAGAGGGGCCGTGGGCATTGTTGATTAAACCCTCCTGGCTGAAATCTCTTTGCAAACATGCTCATCCTTGTGTTTGAAAACAAAGAGACATCCAGAAACACCAACTGTTGTTAAAGAAGGGCCAATGGCCCAGGGAACACACCAGGCAGAAGTGGGCTGGCCACATCAGTACTGATTCCCCCCAACTCACCCCCGCATAAAGAGGTCATTGCAGAAAACACAGTATGAAGGCTGTGCATGGTGCCCACTGTGACTCACGCCTACCAGCTCGGCAGATCCCTAACACCAGAACACTGCCCCCAGTCCTGCCACTGCCTGCCCTGGGTATCACTGACTACCTGCTGGGGGTCATTCTGTCACCTCAACTTCCTCTGTCCACTAGGAAACCCTTGTGTGCCTCTCTGTCCGCATCCCTGCTGATAGGAAAAAAGATAGGAGACCGGAGTAGAACCTACTGCTTGGGTTAGTAACACTATGCTTAGCTCTCACTGTGTTTCTGCCAGCCCCCTCGTTCCAAGATTCCTAATATGCCAGCAACTCCTTCGGTCATCAGCCCCAAGAGGCCTGAGCCCACAAGTGCTACTACCCAGCCTCTAAGTTCCATCTAGCACTCCTGGGAAAGCTCCCACACAAACGCTGACAACCTCATCCTGATTCTCAACCTCCTCACACTCTCCAACTGCAAGGATGTCCGTCTGAGAATGCCAGACACTGTCAACACGAAAGTGGGTAACCCGATCGCCCACAGCCCCTGACGTCCAGCTCCCGCCCGGCTCCAAAGCTGTTGCTCACCCTAGCCGGACGCAGCCCCGGCACGCGGCGGTCGCTGTGGCTCAAACAGGGCAGCCAGAGACAGCGCGGCTCCGGGGCGCTGCAGTCCACGCCGACGGCGCGCTCCCAGCACCAGCCCCCGACGCCCGCGCGCTCCACGCGCCACACGGCACTGCCCACCAGAGCAGCCTGCGGGGACCCCCGAGCGCGGCCACCGTCGCGGCCCCAGCGCGCACCGGGCCTGGCTTCCGGAGCGGGACGTGCGGTGCAGGACTCCGCAGCTCGGCGCCCAGCGGGGGACGTCCTCGGACCCCCTCGCGGCAGGCGGAGCCCAGGGGTCCCAGCCCGCCCCCCAGAGCCGCGGGCCCGCGGCCCAGAGGCCCCGAGGGGACGGCCAGCCCGCGCGGACGGCGGCAGGACGGCTGGAGCGGGGCCGCGCCTCCCGCACCGCCCGGGTGAAGGCGCCCGCTGGAGCGGGGCAGGGACAAGCCTACAAGTCGCTGGGACAGACACCTCCCCCTCCGGGGCGGCCCCGGCGCCGCGCCAGCCCACCCTCCGCCCCACGCCAGAGGCTTCAAGCGGTCCCTGCTCACACAGCACACACCGACGACACCATACAAACACAAGGACTCACACTGCTGAGCGATCACACTATGAGGCCCGTCAACTTTACACCCTTGCAGAAACGCGTTCTAGCTACGTGCCTCACATGGCCAGCACATCATCACCTGTTCCCCACACACGCCTCGCAGACTCTCGGTGTGGATAACGTTGTTCACATCTACGGACAATCTCCTGTTTAAACATACCTACCCCATGGAGCACAGCCATTTAAAGTATGCCAGGCCCTTACAGACCCCCAACCCAGAGATACCCACTTGGCTACATCCAAGCAGGATGGTGACAGGTAGCACATGCTTGCTTCAGGTGACACACACTGCCCACCCAGAAAGAGAGCATGAAGTGTTTCAGAGTGTAAGGCTGCAAGGCGACCCCACTCCAGTCTCCCAAAGGATATTCATTCCTCTTCCAGAGGACCCTTCCAGGAACCCTGGCATCACCAAGTAGGAGGAGGGTCCAAGCTGACCACTCCCTCCACACCTCCATAACAGGAATGAAATGGACGCTGGCTGACTCCAGACACTGCTCACTCCTCTTTTCTGGCTCTCCAGACCCCATCCTTTCCCCAAGCAGAGGCCGGGCTAGCAATGGCCCTGGGTGGTGTGTTCTCCACCGTCACACCCCGAGTTCTTGCAGGCATTTACAACAGTTACTGAGAAGGGAATTCTCAGCAGAAGGGGACACAAGCTCAGAGCCCATCTAAGAGGGAGAGCCACAAGGCTAGGCTGTTTGGGAACATGGCAAAGCCCCTGTCCTCACTCCCCAGGAAGGTGACCTATGTGAGAGGTACCAGATCCAGAAGGGAACACAACTCTAGGGAGTGGGTGGGCAGGATGGAGGGAAGGAAGAACAGAGGAGGAAGGGTGGGGGTGAGGCCCAGGGTGGTGGGGACCGAGTCAGCTAGGGAGCGGTTTTGTTCTCCTGTTTCCTGTTTGCTGCTTGTGGGGCCTATGCAGGCGCTGGACCCCCACCTCCACCCTGCGGAAGCCCAACGGGAAGAGCTGAGACTGCCATGAGCTGAGTCAGGACTCTGGAGAGCAGGAAAGGACCAGTCACGGACAGCGGGGCAGCCAGGGACAGTGAAACTGAGTCTACATGTCTCCAAGCCTCTGGAAAACTAGAACACCAAACTTGTGGACCTGACCACCTCCTGCTCTGCCCTCCTTGTCAGTTCCTCCCAAAGGCCATTCCAGAGACCAGGGGCCCTCCCACCAAGATATACTCAGCCATGTGGACTCTGGGGCCCAGAGTAGAATGCAGAGGCACAGGGATGCCCTTGACTCCCTCATCAGGCCTCCTCTCGAAGTCCTCCCAGCTGCCTAACTGCCACCTTATGTAGCTGTGGCTGTCCTGGAACTTGAGGCATAGACCAGGATAGCTCTGAAACTCAAAGAGATCTGCCTGTCTCTGCCACTATGTCAGGCTTCTTCCTCTTCTCCTTCTCCTCTTCCTCTTCCTCCTCCTTTTTCTTTTTATGTGTATATGTGCACAGGGGTACACACACCACTTCCCACAAGGGCAGAGGAAAACCTCCATTCTATCTTGTGGCTTCTCCATAGGCTCTGGGGGTTGAACCCAGGTATCAGACTTGTAGAGCCAGCACCTTTCCATGCTGAGCCACCTCCCCAGTCCCCAACTGCCTTTTTATCTCACTACAAGCCCAGGTCTTAGGTCTCTCATGGCTGACCCATGATGTCTGTCTGACTGAGACTTGGAAGGGTCTGGGTGTTGTAGGGGAAGGCAGAGGCATGTGGCATTATGTCCGGGCCTACGGACCTTGAAGACCAGAATCTCCAATGTCCGATTTCTGTCTTTTAACCTGGCAGATTAAAGAAGGCTGCCTCAGCAGAAACTCAGAGAGAGGGAAGACAAGTGGGGGAGGGCCTGTGTAGTGTACACAGTAGGGCCTCAAAGCCAGGGCCACAGCTTGAAATGATCTTCTGGGTCTGGGGAGCTGGCTCCCTCCAGTTTCCTCTGGGAAAGGAATGTGGGGTGGGCCTCAGAGCCCAAGGGGGAGGGACAAGCCTGGGAAATACCAGGCGTTGCTGAGATTTCTATTCCAAGCCTTCCTGCACAGTGTCCTCCCCCACGCCCTGCCTGCTGCTTCCTCCCCCACTGCCGGAATCACCCGCTGGCCAGCCCCTCCCAGCCCCTGAGTGAACAGCTGGCACTTATCTTCCTGAGGGTCCCTGCTCAGGACTCAGGACTGCACCCCTAAGCAAGGACACCCAGAATTCTAAAAAGTACTGCTTCTTGTGACCCTTCCCTAAGCAGTAGATATCCGCGATAGCCTTTTTGGGGTGCTGGTAGGGGGCAGAGGCAGGATCTTGTTATGTGGCCCTGGTGGCATTGAATTCTGCTTACATCCTAGGCTGGCCTTGAACTCACAGTAACTCCTCTGTCTCAGCCTCCTGAATGTTGAGATTACAGGCATTTACAGCCAGAGAAGGCTGTATGTCTGTCTGTCTGTATGTGTGTGTTTGCAGACGTGGTTTCAAGGCTGGCCTTACATTCTCTGTGTGGCTGAGGATGACTTTGAACTCTCAAAGTACTGGAGGTACAGATGTGTACCACCATACCTAGCTCCCGCTTTTAAAAAGGATTTATTTTTATTATTTTTAATGTGTGTGTGCTCACATGCACATGAGTACAGATGCCACTGGAAGACCGAAGCTGAAGTTTATAGCCAATTATAAGCCACTCGCGTGGGTTCCGGGACTCAAACTCAAGTCCTCTTGCTAGACACTACACACTCTGAATCCCTGAGCCATCTCTCCATTCCCTGTTCTCCTTTTTTTAGGGTGTGGGGCTTAGAACTAACTCATTTTGTAGACTAGGCTAGCCTTGGATTCACAAAGATCCACCTGCTTCTGCCTCCTGTGTGCTGGAAAGAAAAGCATGCACCCCCCTTTTAAAGACAAGGATGAGAAAGAGAAGGCCTCACTCCTGTGACACCAGGACTGCATCTCAGGGCCTGGCCCCACCCCTCAGATCCCTCTACATTACCTTCTGGGTTATCCATTCATCTACCACATGTGGAGTGGTGCCATGGGCCAGGGTGAGACCCCTTGGAAATCTAAGGCACACACAGTCCCTGCCAGCAGGGCCCTTCCGTCAGGAGTGCCTCCAGTGTCCCCCAGCTCCAGACTCAGGCCCAACCAGCTGCTCTCATGGACACTGGTCAGGTAGTCCTCACACACAAAGGGGACTCCTGACATGCTGTCAGGGGCCTGGACTTCTAAGAAGGACAGTAATGGGTAATGAGCTCCCAGGCTAGCCCTCCAGGAGAGGAGGGTCAAAAGCAGAGGAATAGAAGCCTGCAGAGTCACCAGAAACCAGGGACAGGGAGGAGAGCTGCCCGGAGCCCGAGGGTCAGGGACAGAAGGAGGGAAGCTGATAGCCCTGCGGAGCCGGAGCTCAGGAAGCCAGAGTCACAGGGCTCAAGGTCAGTCCCGCCCGCTCTTCCTTCCTCTGCTTGCTCAGCACCTCCTCCGAGACCTAAGGTCCCAAACCACAGGTGACCAACAAGAGCCCCCACTCCCACCCCTGAGAATTATCCATCTGGTCTCTCATACCATCAAACACAGACCCATAGCCACCCACAAACAGTGACAAGTCCAGAGTTAGGGAGGTAGTTAGGTAGCCATGGGAGCATGTGACAGACAATGCCTGCCCCCTGGTCTAGTCTCCTCCCTCTAGGGCAGTGCCTCCTGGGCCTCCTCCACCCTTTAGCCCCATTCACATCCAGTTCTAGCTTCGATAGAGCAGAGGCCCTCCTGACATGCCCTAACAGGCCTAGTTGACAAGCCGGCCAGGCAAGCTGGAGCTCCCAGGCCCTCCACTGACACCTGCAGCTAGGAGCACAGGACCCTGTGCTGCTGCTCAAGGCAGCTGATACCAAGTGGTTCAAAGGTCTTCCCTACCTGTGCTCTCCTTCCCAGACCACTGTGCCCGGTGTTGGGATGGTCTGTGACACACAATCCCCGCCCCTCTCAGAATGGGTCATAGCCAAGGAAGAAGAAGGAAGGCTGGGGCAGGTGGCAGGGAAGCATTTTCCATGCCTGACATCCAACTGCCATCTGTCCAGGAGGGGAAGGAACAATCCCAGACAGGAGTCAGCACATAAAATGAAGGTGGATTGAAACTTTCACCCAAAGGATGTTGGGAGAATTAAATCAACAAACGAAAGTCTGAGCTGGGTGTGACAGCACCTGTCTGTACTTTCAACTGAGGAAGCAGGAGGACAGTTAGAGGCTAGCATGACCATTTCAAAAACAAGAAATAAAAGTCTCAGCACAGACCCAGAGCACACAGTAGGAGCTTGAAAATGCAAGCTGTTTAATATCCAGACATGTAGCTACTCAGCTAGGTTTTCACAAGACACAGTGACATGGCACAGGCAGAAAGAACTTGGCCCCTCCCACAGCTGACCTACAGTGGCACCATGGCTCCGC